TTTTGTCACTTCTTTTCTGAGTAATGGTTAAAAAACTGATTAGGCATTCTGAGGTGATGGAACCTATATCTGTATTTTCTTTCAGTACCTCGGTGTGAGAACTTTTTTGGCCGAAATCATTCATTTTAGGTTGACATGCCTTTATCAAAGAACAAGAACTCAAACGAACTCCTCCACGCGCATGAGCTTTCATACACCTTTTCTCAACCGTTCCCCTCACGTGCTTTATCCTCATTGGCCCGTGTCTGTGACGCGCCTGAAAGCTGTATTTCACCCATCTGCACCGTCTGACGTGTGCGTTGCTCCAGGCGTAATAAATGCCCTGCTTTTGCGGTTGTTTCAAGTTTTTTACAAAACTTTTCCCCCTTTATTTTCGTCTCTTTAATTTTGTTTTCGATTTTCTGGCTTTCTCTCTCTCTTAAACCTTCTCAAATCCGCCATTGCTCTAGCTTTAAGCTCTGCAACCGTCTTCATTCTCCATTTGAAGCTTTCGCCGTTCCGTCGTGTTTGCAACCGTTGCCTTACCTCAGCGACCTTTTATTCCGGCTTCATTTGTTCTGGTAAGCCTTTGTTCCTCTTATTCCCAATTTCTTTTATGTGCTTTCGTTTACTTACTGCCATTATTGCGCTATTCAAACCTTTGATTTGCTGAACTATTCATCTGGATGCGTCTTTTCCATGATTTTACTCATATCTTGAACACTTGCACTGTTTTAATACTTTTCTTGCCACTGTTCTTAACCTTTTACTTCTCTATTTCTTTCGCTTTTGAGAACCATACCTCTGTTCTTCGTTTCTGAAACGTCATTCTTTGTTTCTTGTTTTCTGTTTTTCTTTTCAGATCTCTGCCTTTAATTCTTGCTTTCAATCTCCAGATCTATAGATTTAGGTTTGGGTTTTGTCTGTAGAACCTTCAATTTTTAGAGAAAACTGAAGCAATCCTTACTAGCATGATATTTTGTTAACCAGTCCATTCCCAAAATTACATCGAAATGATCAATATTCAAGGGGCAGTAAATCAATATACAGAAGTGCATCCCCAACAACAATTTCACATGCAGGATACACATAAGCACAAGTCATGGATCCCCCAGCGGGTGAAGATACAGCTAACAAATAGTTCATGGGTTCCAGTGGTCTATTTAATTTTCGTGAAAAGGCATGTGAGACAAACGAATGTGTAGACCCCGAATCAATTAGAATATATGCATTTTGGGCACAAATTGAGAGTGTTCCTGATACAACTGTCTCGGTGTTCTGTACATCTCCCGATACAAGTGCAAACACCCGGCCTTGCCTTAAAGGCTCCTTTCCAGTAGCTTTGGGATTGGGTTTCGATGGAGCAGTTGATACTGCGGCACTAGCTGCAGCTTTACTATTGCCTTGAGACGTGGAAGGGCAATCTTTAACCATGTGGCCCACATTGCCACACCTATAACAAGCACCAGAAATTTTATAGTAAACCCCTTTGTGCCTTTTCCCACATTCGGAGCAGGGTGGTATGGAACCACTTCCTTGACTAGAACTGTTTGTTGACCCTATGTTTTGCTTTTTATTCAATGAACTGTTCCGGTCTTTCTTAAAATTAAAGCCCCATCTCTTACCGCGCCACTTGGTCTCTGGTATTTCAGTCTGTTTTAATGCTTCGATATTCGACTCAGTTATTATTGCTCGGTCAAGAACATCCACATATTTAAGTAACTTCAGAACATTGATTCGATCAAGTATCTCGACATTAAGGCCGCATTCAAACTTCTTGGCCTTTTTATAATCAGTGTCCACCACGTGTGATGCATATCTGGCGAGTTCAGTGAATTTAGATTCATACTCTGCTACCGACATAGTACCTTGTTTCAACTGTTCAAACTTAGTCACTTTGCAGTCTCAGACGCACTGGGGAAAGTATTTTTTAAAAAGGACTCCTTAAACTGAGCCCAAGTCATAGCATTGTTGGTGTCACGGACGAGCATCCACCACCGTCTGGCCTCTTCTTGTAAAGTGAAGGTAGCTAGTAACACCTTGTGTGCTTCAGAACACGGAAACATTTCAAATAATTTTTCAGTTTCCAGAACCCACGCTTCGGCCTTTAGGGGTTCAAGGCCTCCCTAGAATGATGGTGGTTTCATTTTGCTGAACTTCTGTGTCAGGCCAATTATATCATCATTAATATTTTATTCTGGCTGTACTAGAGGATGTGGGGGCTGTTGGTTCTGTTGTTGTCTTAGGGCTTCAGTCAATAATTCAACTATTCTTTCTAGTCTTGCCATTCTTACCTCAGATGATTCAGATTCATTGGCATTTCTTGCAATGTCCATTTCACTATATGCAATATGGTAATAATAAACATAGGAAGTTGCTGACTTAAGCATATTAGCACATTAGCACATATATTCATATCATAGCCACACACACTTTCTCGTGCTCATGTAATGTCCTAATTACTTTTCTAGGACATCCTATAGCTCACTTGGACACGTGTGTGCAGTATAACTCGTGCTTGGTATTGCTTTGATACCACTCTGTCACGACCCAAACCCGCCCCTATGGGTTTAGCATCGCAACCAGCCAGTAATCGGTGATTACCAAAAACCTGCTTAACAGAAATGACAATAATACAAAATAAGGGACTGGCGGAAGCCAAACAGTAATAGAAAGATGTCCAATGAGCTGTGACATTCTGTATGCAAAAAGAATTTTCTGAACATATTCACATACATAACCAAAACAAATTTACATAACGAGTGCACATAACATCCAGGTTAGGGGTCGAGTCCCTCCAACATAACTATATAGTCAAGACTAAAACATTCATTACAAACAGAGACAGAAGGGTGAAACTGAGACAACCCAAAAATAGCCTTGGCTTGACAGATTTGGAACCTGGAAGTGAGGCACAGTGGTTGGCTTGACAAAACAAAAGCTAACCCAACGCTCCTAGCTCCGGTCCGGTGCCTGGACACCTACATATAAATATAAACAGTGAGCTAAAGCCTAGTGAATAACAGCTGTGTAAAGAGGTTAAGAATGAATGTCCTTTCAGAAATTAAACAGTCATATCAGTCATTTAGAAAACCAAAGCAGTCATATGTGGTATATCTAATAGCAAAACAGTACAGTAGGTCTTGACAGACCGAACAGTCAGTTGATGGCCATCATAACAGTAAACAATAGTAGTTCCAATCATTGGAACCAACAGAGATCTCTGTAACAGTGACAGTACAGTAACATTAAGTTGCTATGGATGCCACGAGTACAATTCATAAAAATAGGACAAACATTCATTCAGTAAGCATTGTCATTTTAGAAAATAGTACAGTTAATCGTTCATAAATAGATATAATTGAACGTATCTTTACAACATTATTACTCACAGAGTGCTGGGCTATAGACAAGCTAACGAGCGTCCTCGGATGCCAACCCTACAGTTGCAAAATCAACACACACTCGGGATTAATAACTTAGACCCTAACATGACTTGGTATGGTTCTATAACATTATCCTCATTAAGATGCCTTAAACATGGCCTAGGAATGCCTAGGATGGGATGAGGATGCAAAAGTGTATCTTAAAACACTATTCAAAATTTTGCTGATATAGAGGTCTCGCTCGAGCGTGGCTTTTTACGCTCGAACGGACATGCAGACAAAGGAGCTCCGCTCGAGCGTGACTTCCCTTGCTCGAGCAGACTGTAAACTCATGAAAAAGTATTGGATGCATGATTTTCACACTTGACGGACGCTCGACCTCCGCTCAAGCGTGAGACTCAGACCCTCGCTCAAGCGTGAATTCTCTCGCTCGAGCGGACTGCAAAACACACGAACTTCTGGGCATATGCATTTCACGCTCGAGCGTGAAGTCCTCCGTTCGAGCATAGATCCAAAATCTGGAATTTCCAGATTGATTCCCAAGCACAAAACCAAGAATCAAAAATGTCAAAACTCAACCTTTTGGGCCAATTTTCTGGAAAACACTTGGAAACTCATAATACAACACGTTTTGAAGATCATTTAATAAAATCAAAGCCCAAAAGTAAACCAATTAAACACCAATTCAACTCAAAATTCAAGAACAAGATGTACATATGCCCTGTATGTGTTTATTTGAAATCAAAGCTTCTAACACATGATCAAATGAGCCAAGACTCCAAAAACATGATGAATTCTTAGATTACATCCATAATCTAGACATGCATGGAAGAATTTCATGGAAAACAACCTTGAACTTCATGATATGTACATGCATGTGAGGATTCCATGCAAAACAACTCCAAATTCAAGAACATGTACATGCAAGCATGAATTCACTCTCAACTCAACACTTTAAACCAATTCTTGATTCTAAACACTAATTTACCATGAACCATACAAGAAATAACTTAAATTCACAATCAAGAAGGTGAATTACCTACCTTAAGCCTTGAATCTCAAGTGTACTAGCTCAATTTTGCAATCTTCCTACAATTCCTCCAATTTCAAGTCAAAATCTAGATGAACTCAAGTTTTTCTCCTACTCTCCCCCTCTCTCTCTCTCGATTTGGTCTGAGGAAAGGATGAGATGATGCACAAAATGATTTAAAAACAATCAGTGAACTAAATGCCCACTAGTGGCAAAAATGCAAATAGTTCAAGTTGATGTAATATAACAAAATAATTCTAATCTAATTATTCCAAATTAGGTTTCAATTAAACTTACCATAAAATCTCATAAATTCTAATTAGCATAAACTACTAATCAATTTTTGATTCGGTCGCTGATAAGGCCTTCGATTCGCAGTCCGAAACTTAAAACATGAACAGATCATTCGACAATCAAACAGATAGAAATGCATTTAAAACAATACACTCATGCGTTCGGTTCAGAATTTCAGTCTGATCAATTACTTATCATGCGAAAACACAGATTAGCACTAATCAGAGGTGAGAGTTGTCACAAGCAGCCATGGCTAAACGTAGATATCAGCCGAACTGGGTATTGCTGGGACAAATAGACGCTCTTTCGTATTCATATTCGTATTCGTATCCTAGAGAGAGAAACTTCACAGAGCTAGAGAGAGAGAGAAAGAGAGAAAATTCCTCTCTACTTGTTCTTCTACTTGCTAATTTTCTGGATTTGTGTTCTTCATGATCGTGCTTTTCTTCAACGGAGATTGAATTTCACACTCTAACTTGGTTAGTCCTCCAATTCCGCTATTTTCTCTGGTTTTTGCTTCTGTTTAGTTTCGTTTGTGGTGGTTACTGGTTAGAATTTGTGTAGATGAGCACATAGTTGTGTTTGTATAATCTCTCTCCCTGTACTTTTTTTTTTATAATTTTAATTTTAATTTTTATGTAGTTGTGGAAATGAAAGAGACCGAGATGGGAAGTAAAGATGAATTAATGGAGGCTCTCAAGAAGGAAGCTGTTGATTTGGTACTGAATCTGACTCTGTTGTGATTTTTACACTCTCTGTGTTATTTTTTATTCAGTGAAGGTGTGCTTTGATGGGTTTTGATTTTGGTGAATTTGATATATGAATTTGATTTGCAGGAAAACATACCGATTGAAAAGGTTTTCGAGAATTTGAGATGTGCATGGTTTAAGAACTTGGTTTTGGTTAACCAATATGCACATATGGATTAAATTCAGAAAATTCATTTTCATCATTCCTCGGATGTCCAATTAGATTTGATAAAAGTCGTTGAAACCGCTCATATAGATTGAAGGAAATAAATTTTTTTTTAATCAGATTTAATGAAAAAAATATTAAACCTTTGGAGATGCTTTTATTTGTTTTTTCCATTGAAGAGTACCTGATTCATTCATTAGATTTTCTTCTCCTTTATTTATTTATTTATTTTTGGGTTGTATTTTATTATTATTTTTTATATTTTTGTTGACATGCACTCATTCCTTCTAATCCAAGCCACAACAAGCTGACTCACGGGGTTGGTGTGGGAATAGGTTATTTTAGTTTTTTTTTTTTTTTTTTTTTTTCAACTTTTATTTAAAAAAAAAGGA